GAAGGTAACCCCGTGACGAAATCCATGGTAACCTGCTGCCAGGCGCGCTCAGGCGGTGGAATCGGCTGCAACTGACCCGCCTTTTTTTTCTTTTCGCGAGCTCTTCATCACCTGACACGTAGGACATGAGCCCACGTGGTGCTGTACGTCGGTCAACAGCTCCGGCCAGTAGTAATACCGCTGCAGTTGCTGTCGCGTTTTTTCTACCCCAAAATGTCATGAGGTAATCCCGTCGTGTGCTTTCTGCAGTAACAGTTCCCTCAGTAGTGAATACGCGGGTACCCACATGCGGTTGGTGCCCGCTTTTACGTAAAAGACTCCTTTAGCCTCTGCCAGTTGCTGTGAATTTCCGGTCGTGAAAAATGGGTCAGTAATGTATCCGTGGGTGAATAGGCCTGTTAGCAGTGGGTTGGTTTAGGCGAGTAGGATGGCGTGAAGTTGGGCGGTGGGGCGTGTGAGTGCGTTGACGATGTTGGATGCACCTTTTTTGTACATGACGGTATAGTGGAAGTTGGACTCCAGATAGTCCAACCAGCGGATCTGTTGCGGGTTGAGACTCGGTTGGGCGCGAAGGTACTGTAGTGATCGGTGGTCTGTCCGTACTGTCACGTATGCTCCCGTGAGGTAACATCGCCACACCTTGAACGCGTGCACGATCGCCAGCATCTCGCGGTCGTGTATCGGATAGTTGCGTTTGGGCGGGTGAAGTTTGCGGGACTCGCACGCGACTGGCTGGAGGCCGTTCCCGAAGTCCTGCAACAGTACTGCTCCCACAGCGATGTCGCTAGCGTCAGTGACGAGCTCGAACGGACGGTGCGGATCTGCGATGTGAAGCACGGGCGGTGAGCACAAAATTTGGTTGAGGGACGAAAAGGCAGCTTGCTCTTTCTCCCCCCACGTGTACTCAACCCCCTTCCTCAGCAGGTCGGTTAACGGGGCAGTCAACTTCGCCATGTCGGGGATGAACCGTAGCACGTAGTTGACGAACCCCAAAAAGCTCTGCAACTCAGTCAAGTTTGTCGGCGCGTGCCATGCTTTAATCGTCGCGATCTTTTTCGGGTCTACTTACACTCCGTCAACTGAAATTATGTGCCCTAAAAACTCCAGTCTGTCCTGTAGAAAATCACACTTAGAAGCTTTGGTCAGTAGGCGGTTCTCACTCAGGATTTTGAAAACTGCTTCGATGTCCTGTAGGTGCTGTGCTCTGTCGGGGCTGTAAATCAGTATGTCGTCGAGGTACACGATGACGCACTTATCTAAAAGCGGGCGGAAGGCTTCATTCATCGTCATTTGGAAAGTGGCGGAGGCGTTGATCAGTCCGAAAGGCATGACTGTGTATTCGAAGGATCCGTAGCGTGTGCGGAAAGCTGTCTTTGGGCAGTCGGGTGGGTTGACGCGGATCTGGTGGTAACCCCCTTTAAGGTCGATTTTTGAGAAAACCCGGGCTGTGCGCAGTTGGTCGATCAGTTTATCGGCTCGCGGGATGGGGTAACGGGATTTGATGGTAACCCTGTTCAGTGCCCTGTAGTCTATGCACATGCGAAAACCCCCGTCCTTCTTCGGCGTGAACAGTATCGGTGCTGCGAAGGGTGACGAACTCGAGCGAATGAACTCTTTTCCGAGCATGTAATCCAGCTGCTTCCTCAGTTCGTCCAGTTCGGGTTGGGTCAGTCGAAATTGTCGCTGTATTGTCGGCTGTGCCCCCGGTTCTAACTCTATCCTGTGGTCGTGCGGTCACTGAGGTGGCAATTCCGTCGGCAGGCCGTCCGGAAATATACAACTGTACTGCTTCAGGAGTGCTGCCAAGTCATCCGATACGTCGGCTAGCAGTTTCTGTTAATCCCCCCCTTTGTCTGCTGCCTCGGCTTCCCGAATGTCGACCGCGTACACGTCAGCTCCTGCCCCTATGGTGTGTTTCATCGTGATCGCGTTGACACGCACCGACGAAGACTCAGGCGAGCCCCAACGAGGTAAGGCGATGTTGTTACCGTTTACTCGCACGGTGCAGTCACCCGCCGTCCAGCCGATTCGCGAATTGTGTCCTCGCAGCCAATCACGACCGAGTGAAATGTCGGTTCCGTCGAGAATTGTCGCGAGCATTTCCTGGCTAAACGTGAAGTTACCCCCGCATCAAATCCGAACCCGTCTTCGCGTTCTAGTGGCGTGCCGTCAACCAGTCTTGCGTCGATCTCCGGTAAGCATCTGTCCAGTGGTACTTTCAGTTTTCGTGGTGTGACAGTGTTGATGAGGTTGTGGCTGGCTCCCCCATCTACGAAGATTTTAACTAAGTCGGTCCCGATTTTCCCACTAAGTCCGTCTACCGTAGTACCCTCCTTATTCGGCCGGGTGTGGTCGATCGCGTGAACCGGCACAATCACTCAGTGAGGGTCGGCTGGGTCGGGCGAGCGGCGTGACCTGTCAGTAGAGGGCCCATCTGCAACTGACTCCCAGCGTTTCTTGCTGCTTGGTCTGTTTCTGCTGCTCAACTTCCCCCTTTCCCTTAGCGTTTTCCGGGCATTCGCTCTTACGGTGTCCCGGCCGATTGCACGCGAAGCAACGCCCTTTGAACGGTGCGGCAGCGGCCTTCGCGGCGACGGCACGTATCGTAGCGCCCTCGTTCGTCCCACAAGACTGATGTCCCCAGTTACTGCTTCAGTAGGACCCCGGTCTCAGTCGGCGGAAGAAATCAAGCTTCTCCGCCATAGCGAGAATTTCTTGAAAATCAGTGAAGCCGCGAAGCTGGATTTCCTGAGCGATGTCGTGCTTCAGGCCGCCGATGTAGCGGTCGATGCGCTCGCCCTCGTGCATATAACCCACTTGCTCGCATAGCGCCAGAAACCCGCTGGTGTAGTCCTGGACGGAACCGAGTTGGCGCCAAGTGCGGAGCTTCTGTCGCGCCGCGATCGAAACCGCGATTGGCTCAAATCGAGCGCGCAGACTTGCGCACCATGCGTCCCACGTGCGATACTGGGGCACCTCCACGAAATACGATGGCGCCCAGGGTCCGGTTTGTCCTTCCCGTGTCGGTAGAGTCGCGTGGTCGTTCGGCTTCGTGACGATGACGCGCCACCAGTCCATGGCGGGTCCTCGCAGCAGCGACACGGCGTAACGGATTTTCGCCGTATCCTCGGAGACGTAGTTGGCGTCGAAGAAGACATTCATCGTGAACAGCCGCGCCTGAACGGTAGGACCACCCTGTTGACTCGGGTCAAAGCATGGTGGACGCTGCGGCTTCAGCGGCATCGGTGACGGCAACGCCGAATCGTTGATCGGGGCCAAAATCGTGACGCGCGGTTGGTTTCGGGCCGCATTCGTCGCTTCGGGGTGTGTCGCACCGTGGTCGTCGTCTCCGTCATAGCGGACGACGCCATCACTAGCCACGCTCGCGGGTTGCCATACGCTTCCGTGTTGCGATGTCTGCGGTGCGGGCTGTACCGGAGTGCTAGGTGCTTGAGATTGTGCTTGCTGTGCTCGTGCGATGTCATTTTGCAGGGACGTGCGTCCTGCCGTCAGCGCCGCGATTTCTTCAGAGCTTTCGCTAAGTTGCTGCAGCAGTTCGTTCAAACGCTGCGTGAAGGTGGTGACGTCAATATGCTCAGCCATTTCGAAGGGCGTCGGCCTGTCTTAGTTCTAGGTGCAGTCGTGGCTGCACAAGTTTACGAGAGAACGCGCAAACAGCGGCTCCTAGGGGCTAAGGTGCGTGAGTCCCTTCGAGTGAAAAAACAAAAGTTGTTTTCTTGGGGTGCGGAAATGCGCGGTCCGAAAAAGGAAATAGGGTATGAATACCAAGTGTTACGGGTGCAATGAATCGAGGTAGCGAGGATTGCACTAAGTGTCAAACAAGTACAAAATGTGAATGAAGGCATGAGCGAACATTTATACACAAAACATGCAAACGGTAACGCGGTGCGTGCGAGCTAGCTAGTGCTATGCTGGCAGTGAGGTTCGGGCTAGCCCCGAAGCGTAGGCCGACACGGCCGGGCCAGCAGTGCGAGGTTTGGTGAAACAGTGCACGCGAAGTCGGCGAAGCCCGTTAGCAGTAACGGGCGAACAACGATGTTGCAGGGCGCGCTAAGGAATGTAGAGAAAATTCCTTACATTGTTACACACTTGCTCTATACATTTAGCCTCCCTACAGCGAAGATGGTTTTTTCCAACAATCACGTGACCCACATTCGACGGAACTATGAGGGGCTTTGTTGCACGAAGGCTGCTCTGCTTCTGCCAAGTGTTCTTTCGACTGTACACGTCGACGAATCCACGCTCACGTTGACATCACTGTCTGGGTTCTCGCTTCTCACTTGCCCTTGAATCTCCAACCAGAGCGTCGAGCTTCGGCGCCGCAAATTTTCCATTGGCTGGAAACGAAATTCCACGTGGACTTACAGCTAGTTCCGCGCGCTGAAGCTTAGTCGGGGAAAATATGTGCGCCACAGAGGCGCCGCAAACTGCCCCCGATTGCTCTGAGCCACACTTCAAGGGCTTTGCGGCGTCAAATGCTTCAGATTGACGTTGGCGGGCGCGTTTCACCGAACACCCGGTGGAACTCCGCGCGCGCATGTATTCCGCCAGACATTTGTATCAGCGACGAAGGGGGGAATGCAAAATCTCCCCCGACTCTCGGATCAAACCACAACACCTCTGCCCTTGGCTAAACCACACTGAAAATTACGTCACTTCTGATTATATTCTAAAGCGCTCTGAAACCCACACAACACACTTGTTCTCCCGCCTCCCTGTCCATCATCTCTCTTCCTCCACACGTTTTCTCCCCTGCCATCGTCAATGCAGCCAGCCTAGGGAATACTTCATTTCATTCTTCTGAAGCATTGGGATTTGTATCTTCGCGAGGCTCCTACCTTAGCTGCCAGGGTTGGGTCAGAACCTTGTTAGGGATTGGCTGCTCCTAATCCCACTCGCGTCACAGGGATCGTTAACAGCTAAGCCATAATCAACCTTACGTCAAGGCATTTTGCCAGCTCAGGTTGTTACAACCAACTATGGCGGCCCTAAACGCGTTGCCCGTCGTCGCTCAAACCTCGAATGCGCTTGACGCGTCAACCCTCACCAACGCGAAAGCATTGAAGTCCCGCTCATGTGCCCTCAACAGCGGCTGCTTCGGCGAGCGCGTCGCTAAGGACGCGTCGCTGAGAGCCATCAGCGGGAAAGCCGCTCTTTCCGGCCTCGTAAAGGCGCACAAGACTGGCCGAAGCGGCGTTGCGTGCGCCTCGCTAGACCCTCCCAAGGCTGTTAGCGCGGACGCGCCGCCGGCCTTCACGGCGTGGGGCGATGATGCGCTGAACCCCGCCGGGAAGCGCACGGATATCAAGAAGATCATGATCCTGGGCGCTGGACCCATTGTGATTGGCCAGGCCTGCGAGTTCGACTATTCTGGGACCCAGGTGCGTTCCGGGCGGATCAATGCAGGAATATTCTACACCTTAGCAATACCGATCAATGTAGTTAGCCAATGTTCTCTAAATTCCACCTTCGCGGTTATCAAACCAATCAGTCTGGAGTATTTTTTCTTTTAATACCGTGCACCTTTTTTTACTTGAATCTCATCAACCGTCGGCCGTACGTGCGTGAGTGGTCGCCGTGATTGCAGGCGTGCAAGGCGCTGAAGGAGGAGGGGTACGAGGTGATACTGATCAACTCCAACCCCGCCACCATCATGACGGACCCCGGCACCGCCGATCGCACCTACGTCGCTCCCATGACGCCCGAACTCGTGGAGCAGGTGCGCTGCTGGCCTCTGCCGCCCGTCATGCCCTTCCTCGGACATGCTTACCTCTCGTCCATCGTCGTTCTTCCTTATTCCCATCCTCGCCTTCCATACTTAGTTCCTACATTAAAGGCTAACCCGAAGTATCGTGCGTCTGCCTTCCCACTCTCGTTCAAGCTACCGACGATCGTTCTTGTGCATCCAGTTCGCCTATCCGCGCATGTGTCCCTCCCATTCCCGATCCGGTTGTTCCCCGATCCACCGTCTCTTTCGGCTATACATTCCCCTTCCCTCGTTACCCCTACACGATCCCCATCCCGCTCACCCTGTCGCTCTCAACCGCCGCTCTCCGACCAGGTGATCGCGAGCGAACGCCCCGACGCGCTGCTGGCTGCAAATGCGCGGGCACCCGCATCAGCTGATCGCGCCCTTGCACGCTCCCCATCCCATTCCCCCATCCCATGCTCCCCCGTTCCACCCGTCACCCGCCCGTTCCCGATCCCACCACCAGGTGATTGCCAACGAGCGCCCCGACGCGCTGCTCCCCACCATGGGCGGGCAGACGGCGCTGAACCTGGCGGTGGCGCTGTCGGAGCGCGGCACGCTCGACAAGTACGGCGTGGAGCTGATCGGCGCGAAGCTGGACGCCATCAACAAGGCGGAGGACCGCGACCTCTTCAAGCGCGCCATGGACAAGCTTGGCATCAAGAGCCCCAAGTCCGGCACTGCCAATACGCTGCAGGTGGGTGCAAAGCGGTGCTGGTGGGTGGGAGATAATCGTCACCGGCGCTTGAAATGCCGGGAACGCATGCAGGCGGTGTAGATGAGATGGTGCTGTTGCAGATAAAGTGGCGAGGAGATTGATTACTCGTTACTGGCACACCATTAATGCTTCTTCTCTCCCCATGTCATGTCTCTTACCCATTCCCTGCCCCCTCCTTCCCCCACCCTCCCTCCCCTCTCACCCCCACCTTTCCTCCCCCTCTCCTTCCCCCGTCCCCTCTTCCTCCGCGCGCAGGAGTGTTTCGAGATCGCGCGTTACATTGGCGACTACCCGCTGATCATCCGCCCGGCGTTCACGCTGGGCGGGTCGGGAGGCGGCATTGCGTACAACGAGGAGGAGTTTGAAACCATCTGCAAGGCCGGGCTCAGCGCCAGTGCCACGTCACAGGTCAGTGCCACGTCACAGGTCAGTGCCACGTCACAGGTCAGTGCCACGTCACAGGTCAGTGCCACGTCACAGGTCAGTGCCACGTCACAGGTCAGTGCCACGTCGCAGGTCAGTGCCACTTCACGGGTCAGTGTGCCACGTCACCGGTTCGTGCCACGTCACAGGTCAGACTTCAAGTTGGTAACACGTTACGGGTAAATGGTGCAGCATTTTCCTGGGAGTGACCCCCTGGGCATCCTGTCGTGCGTGCTTCTCTGTCTGTGCTGGTAAGTGTGCCGACAGGCAGCCATACCCTTGCATGCGCCCCATGTGCGCCCACCCTCCCTCCTCTCTCCCTTGGCCTCTCTCCCCCCCACCAGGTGCTGATCGACAAGTCGCTGCTGGGGTGGAAGGAGTAGGAGCTGGAGGTGATGCGATGCGCACACGTGCTGCTGCACACACACACACACCCTTGCAAGCACCCTTATGAGTGCTCACCCTTCCCCATTCCGCCCCCCCCCCTCCCGTGCACAGGTGCTGATCGACAAGTCGCTGCTGGGGTGGAAGGAGTACGAGCTGGAGGTGATGCGCGACCTGGCGGACAACGTGGTCATCATCTGCTCCATCGAAAATATCGACCCCATGGGCGTGCACACCGGCGACTCCATCACCGTCGCTCCCGCTCAGACCCTGACTGACAAGGAGTACCAGGTAGGGTTGCTAGGAAGAGGGGAATGGGGCGGTGGCGACAGGGGAGGGGCCTGGCGGACAGCGTGGTGAGCATCTGCTCCATCGAGAACATCGACCCCATGGGCGTACCCACCGGCGACTCCATCACTGTCGCTCCCTCTCAGACTCTGACTGACAAGGAGTACCAGGTGAGGGAGTGAGAGGCTTGCAGGCGGGGCAGGGGAGGTGTCGGTGGGGTTTGAGAGGGAGGGGCCTGGCGGACAACGTGGTGAGCATCTGCTCCCATCGAAAACATCGACCTCATGGGCGTGCACACCGGCGACTCTATTACCGTTGCTCCCGCTCAGACCTTGACGGACAAGGAGTATCAGGTGAGGGATTGAGGAGCTTGCAGGCGAGGCAGGGGAGGGGTTTTGAGTGTAGCGGAGGGGAGTGAGGACGTAGCGAACAATGTGGTGATCAGCTGCTCCATCGAGAACATCGACCGCATGGGGGACTCCCAGAGGTATTAATGTGAAAGTATCACGTGCGGGAGGGGGAATGGGTTACAATACATCAGGTGACGGGTTTAGGTTTCCGGGTTCAGGGTTTGAACCTCTGCGGTAGATTTGAGGGTCCTGTGGGATGGATGATGCAAATTCCGTGTTTCGACTCAATGTCCCCTCATGGTGACTTTAAGAGGAGTTGTAAAAAGTCCTCGGAACTCGTGTCCTTTCCTCTTCTGCTCCCCTGCCAATCCCCATCCCTCCCCCTCCTTTCCTTCTTCCCCCTCCCCCAGCGGCTGCGTGACTACTCAGTGGCCATCATCCGCGAGATCGGAGTGGAGTGCGGGGGCTCCAATGTGCAGTTCGCTATCAACCCCAAGGACGGCGAGGTGGCGGTGATCAAGATGAATCTTTGTACAATTCCCCCCATTTCCCCCTTTTTTTCCCTTCCTCTTCCCTCCTGCCTCTCTTCCCTTGGATCCACTCCCCCTTCCCCAGCGCCTGCGTGACTACTCAGTGGCGATTATCCGTGAGATCGGAGTGGAGTGCGGGGGCTCCAACGTGCAGTTCGCCATCAACCCCAAGGACGGCGAGGTCGTGGTGATCGAGATGAACCCGCGTGTGTCGCGCTCCTCGGCGCTGGCGTCCAAGGCCACGGGCTTCCCCATCGCCAAGATGGCCGCCAAGCTCTCCGTTGGCTACACTCTGGACCGCATTCCCAACGATATCACCAAGAAGACCCCTGCGAGCTTCGAGCCATCCATTGACTACGTGGTCACCAAGGTGAGCTCCCGTCTGCACTCTCGCCCCCTCTCCGCTGCGCTCCTCCGCGCTGGCGTCCAAGGCCACGGGCTTCCCCATCGCCAAGATGGCCGCCAAGCTCAGCGTCGGGTACACTCTCGACCGCATTCCCAATGACATCACCAAGAAGACCCCGGCTAGCTTCGAGCCGTCTATTGGCTATGTCGTGACCAAGGTGAGCTGTATTCTTGAGGCTTCTCAGGAGTAGTTTCGCTGCCGCATGCTCTCTAGCCGCCACTCTCTTCTCCTCTGCGCTCCTCCGCGCTGGCGTCCCTACGCTCCTCAACCCCTACTCTCCCTTCTCCCCACGCTCTCCCCCACACACCACCCTCCACGAGCAGATTCCCCGTTTCGCATTTGAGAAGCCCCCCGGGTCCGAGCCCGCGCTCACCACGCAAATGAAGTGTGTCGGCGAGGCCATGGCCAGCGGCCGCACCTTTGAGACGCCTCAAAAGTCGCCTCTTCCCCTGTTCTCCCCAACACACTTAACCCCACGTGCAGATCCCGCGCTTCGCATTCGAGAAGTTCCCAGGCTCCGAGCCCACGCTCACCACCCAAATGAAGTCCGTCGGCGAGGCCATGGCCATCGGCCGCACCTTCCAGGAAAGCTTCCAAAAGGCGCTCCGGTCCCTCGAGACCGGGCACTGGGGGTGGGGGTGCGAGCCGGTGAAGCAGCTGGAGTGGTCCCTGGACGACCTGAAATATTCCATGCGCGTGCCCAACCCCGACCGCATGTACGCCATCTATGCTGCCATGAAGCGCGGCATGAGCCAGCGGCAGGTGCAGCAGCTGACGAGCATGGACCCGTGGTATCTGTCGCAGATGGGGGAGCTGCTAGAGGTGGAGGATTTTATGGGCAAGCTGGATGGGAACCTGCGTGCGCTCACCAAGGACGACATGCAGCAGATCAAGCGCCGCGGGTACAGCGACCGGCAGATTGCATTCGCGCTAAAGAGCACGGAGGAGGAGGTGAGGAGCTACAGGCTGGAGCTGGGCGTGGTGCCGGCGTTCAAGCGCGTGGACACGTGCGCGGCGGAGTTTGAAGCGATGACGCCGTACCAGTACTCGTCGTATGATGAGGAGAACGAGGGCCAGCCCGATGCGGAGCGCAAGGTGCTCATTCTCGGCGGCGGGCCGAACCGCATCGGGCAGGGGATTGAGTTTGACTACTGCTGCTGCCACGCGTCCTTTGCGCTGCAGGCTGCAGGGTTTGAAACAATCATGATGAACAGCAACCCGGAGACTGTCTCTACAGACTATGACACGTCCAACCGGCTCTACTTTGAGCCGCTGACAGTGGAGGATGTGATCAACGTCATCAACCTGGAGCGCCCCGATGGGATTATCGTGCAGTTCGGAGGGCAGACGCCTCTGAAGCTCGCCGTGCCGATCCAGAGGTATCTTGAGAAGACGCAGCTGCAGGCGGCGAGCGGGGCCGGCCCGGTGCGCATCTGGGGGACGTCCCCGGATTCGATTGACGCGGCGGAGGATAGGAAGCGGTTTGAGGCGATGCTGAACGAGCTGGGGATCAACCAGCCGCCCGGGGGGATTGCACGCAGCGAGGAGGATGCGCTGGCGGTGGCGAAGCGCGTGGGGTATCCGGTGGTGGTGCGCCCGTCGTATGTGCTGGGAGGGCGGGCCATGGAGATTGTGTATAACGACGCGGCGCTGCAGAAGTACCTGGTGACGGCTGTTGAGGTGGACCCTGAGAGGCCCGTGCTGGTTGACAAGTACCTCTCGGTGAGTGGGAGGGTGCTTGCATAATCTGGTGCTGGTGGGGTTGGTGGTGGTGGGGTTGGTGGTAGTGTATAACGACGCGGCGCTGCACAAGTACCTGGTGACGGCTGTTGAGGTGGACTCTGAACGCCCCGTGCTGGTTGACAAGTACCTCGCGGTGAGTGGGGTGATGGTTGCATGGCATGATGAGTCTGTGGCTGGTGGTGGTTGCATGGCATGATGAGTCTGTGGCTGGTGGTGGTTGCATGGCATGATGAGTCTGTGGCTGGTGGTGGTTCTGGGATGATGGGTGGTCCCCCATCCTCCCCCTCATCCGTGTAGCCCCATGCCTCAACCCTCCATTCCCCCTCTCCTTATACAACCTGATTTTCCAGAACGCCACAGAGTTGGATGTGGACTGCTTGGCGGACAGCACGGGTGCAGTGACCATAGGCGGCATCATGGAGCACATAGAGCAGGCGGGCGTGCACTCTGGCGACTCTGCTTGCTCCCTGCCCACCCAGACCATCTCAGAGGATGCTCTAGCCACCATCCGCGACTGGACCACCCGCCTTGCTCGCAAGTGAGTTGGTTGCCATGGGATGGGACGGGGCAGTGACTGGTCACTTGGACTGGTCACTTGTGAGCCAACTCAGCAGTCGAAACGCACCTGCCTGTCATGGGGCGGCCTTGTGATGTCTGTCAGGCGTTGCCGCACACACCATGTTTTTTGGAGTATTCTCAACGTCATCGTCCAAGTCAACCCTCGCACCATGCACACGCCACCACCTGCTCTCAACCCCTCCCTCCCCCCACTCACCCCCTGTCCCACAGGCTGAACGTGGTGGGTCTGATGAACTGCCAGTACGCAGTCATGCCAACAGGCGAGGTCTACATCATCGAGGCCAACCCCCGCGCCTCCCGCACCGTGCCCTTCGTGGCCAAGGCCATCGGCCACCCGCTCGCCAAGTACGCGTCCCTCGTCATGGCGGGGAAGACCCTGCAAGAGCTGGGCTTCGACAAGGAGGTGATCCCCAACCACGTGTCGGTGAAGGAAGCCGTGTTGCCCTTTGACAAGTTCCCCGGCTGTGACGTGCTGCTGGGCCCGGAGATGCGGTCCACCGGGGAGGTCATGGGGTTGGACGCCACGTTTGCGAAGGCGTTTTTAAAGGCGCAGGTGGCGGCGAATCAGCGGCTGCCAACTGGCGGGTCGGTGTTTGTGAGCCTGAACGATCTGACCAAGGAGAGCGGCGTGGAGGTGGCCAAGAGCTTTGTGGATCTGGGGTTCAAGATACTGGCCACTGAGGGCACGGCCAACGTGCTGGAGAATGCGGGCATTGAGGTGGAGAGAGTTCTCAAGCTGCACGAGGGGCGCCCCCACGCTGGTCAGTGCCTTGCATGCATGTGTGCCCTGAGATCTGTGAGTGAGATGTGCTTGAGATATGCCATGAGATGGGCGTGAGTCTTGGGTCTGCACTCTTCTCATCGTGGTCTCGATTGTTCGTTTGACTCCATTTGCTGTCACCCCTCCGTATGCCCTGCCCTCATCACTGAGCTATGCAATCCTCTCCCTTGTTTTCCTCCCCACCACCAGGCGATCTGGTGTCCAACGGGCAGATCCAGCTGCTGGTGATCACCTCAGCGGGCGATGCGCTGGACCAGAAGGACGGGCGGCTGCTGCGCCGCACAGCGCTGGGCAAGAAGGTGCCCATCATCACCACCATGGCCTCTGCTCGTGCCACCGTCAAGGCCATCCGCGGGTTGATTGAGTCGCCGATCGAGATGAAGGCCCTGCAGGATTATTATGTTGCTGGGAGCAAGGAGGCTATTGCTGATGCTGCTGCCACCGCTGCTGCTGCGGCGGCAGTGAGTCGGTAAAGGGGTGTGCTGCGCGTGGGGGGTATGGGTTTCATGGAGATTCGCGAGTGTGGTTTGTGATAGTCCCTAGAGATGACATTAGTACGTACTCTGTTTGACAGTACAAGTTATTGGGCAGAGCTTGCCCCAGATGTTAATTACTGTAATTGACTTGTGCAAGCCTGCCCATACCATAAGATATACCAGTATCCCTGCCATAATTCCGACGGATGGATTCTGATGGCACAGCAAACAGAGAGTGCACGCATGCTGGTATCATTTCTTACATCCAAACAAAACCATTGACATAAGCAGTCACACTGCTGTGAATACCGAAGCAGCACAAAAAATGTTGCCCAATGACCACTTACTTACCCTTGCTCTCAGTTGGCACATCTGGTGTGAACAGGAAAGGCTTGGTGTTGCAGCATAAATATCAAATGGCTGAAAAAATGTGTACTGAGATTTACTTTCGTTTCAGTGTGTATTGTTTATCCGTCCGCGTTATTCGTCGTGAAGTCACCAGACCGCACCGTTACCAGACCTATTTTGGCGATGATTTTTCCTGACGAAAACCACATCACCTGCGACATTTGATAACCATCGACAAACCCACCTGGCACTGGAGCGCACCTGACCAGCAGCAGATGTCCAATCAGCGACGCCACCTCGTCCTTACCGTGACAGCACTCCGACGACACGGGGAGACATTCGTTGCCTGGTTGGTGGAGAGCCGAACCACACGAGGTTCCCGCTATTGCCACGAGGACGGAGTTTGGTAGAGATTCCGAACCTGGAGTCCCACCAACCACCATTGTCGAACCTGCAACCCTCACTGCATAATAATCGGAGAGTGATCCAACAGACTTTCACAATTTCTTACCTTCAGAAACCAGCAATTTCTGGAGGCATTTTTTAGCGACGTTCCAACATCTGTGAGCATCTCAATTGCAATTTCTTGGTAGTAATATCCGCATCTGACTTACTTTCCCGTGTTCAGCCATGGCTTCCGAAGCTCCTGTCAAGAAGGCTTTCATCACCGGTATTACTGGCCAAGATGGATCTTACTTGACAGAATTTCTGCTCTCCAAGGGCTACGAGGTCCACGGTATCATCCGTCGTTCTTCCAACTTCAACACCCAGCGTCTCGACCACATCTATCGTGATCCTCACGTGTCTTCGGCTAAGCTGAAGCTTCACTACGGTGACTTGTCCGACGCTACCGCTCTTCGTCACTGGATTGACCAGATTAAGCCAGATGAGGTCTTCAACCTCGGTGCTCAGTCCCACGTCGGGGTCTCCTTCGAGAACCCCGAGTACACCGCCGATGTCGTCGGTACGGGAGCGCTTCGGTTGCTCGAGGCTGTCCGCAACCACATTGAGAACTCCGGACGCACCGTTAAATACTACCAGGCTGGATCTTCAGAAATGTTCGGCGCTACCCCCCCTCCTCAAGACGAGAAGACTCTCTTCCACCCCCGGTCGCCTTATGCCGTGTCCAAGGTGGCTGCTCACTGGTACACCGTGAACTATCGCGAGGCTTACGGCATGTTCGCCTGCAACGGTATTCTCTTTAACCACGAGAGCCCGAGGCGTGGTGAGAACTTCGTGACGAGGAAGATTACACGCGCTGTTGGTCGCATCAAGGTTGGGCTTCAAAAGAAGCTGTACCTTGGCAACCTGAAGGCTTCCCGTGATTGGGGTTTTGCCGGCGACTACGTTAAGGTAAGACAATTGTTCATTCTATATCCCTTACCCTTTTATCCCTTCCCGTTTCGATTAAAGAACCGATTCAACCATTTGTCGCAACTGCTTCCTCTTCCTTCATTCCCGTTTTTTTTCTTTATTACACCGTTTTCTTCCCTTACATAACATAAAATAACTGAGATCGCATAGTTAAGTAAACAGCACCTAACGAAAAGTGTCCTGGCTGACGAATTCCTTGTCGATTTTACAGGGAATGTGGCTGATGCTCCAGCAGGAGCAGCCCGATGACTACGTGCTGGCCACTGAGGAGTCATTCACTGTGGAGCAATTCCTGATCGCAGCCTTCGGCTACGTTGACCTGGACTGGAAGGAGTACGTCGAGATTGACCCCCGCTACTTCCGCCCGTCCGAGGTGGACAACCTGCGCGGGTCCTCGGCTAAGGCCCGGGAAAAGCTTGGGTGGAAGCCTGAGGTGGACTTCAAGAAGCTGGTGGCGATGATGGTTGACTCGGATTTGGACAAGGCTAAGAGGGAGCAGGTTTTGGTCGAGAACGGCTTCTTGGACAGCAACTTCCAGCCCTAAGCTAGGATTGGGAACCTGGGATCTTAGGTTGGGTTATTTATGTGATATTTCACAATGGATAGTGTGACTAATTTGCACAGTTTTCCCTGTGCAATTGTAAAGCTTCTGTGACCTTTCCCCTTGAGCGTCTGTGATCTGCTGGTTGCGACCTCATGTGAGTCTGCACTGCTGGTTGGAGCCTGCCCCCGAAGTCATGAACGTTCGTGTAACCTCTTCCGCCCATACAGCTCCGGGCATTCCTGAGGTACTGCATGGGACATTCAAGAATGGTCTCTTCGCCATGCAGCTGACTTAACAAGAGGACAGCCTCCTCGACACATGAGTTAGGAATTGAGACTGGGCATCTCTCCATTTAAAACCAGGGTGCACATTCAACGCGGTTCGGCTTGAGATGTTGGGAAGGGGGTTTGGAGAAAAACAGTGATTGGCTCACGAGGGGCGACAAAAAAATGATTCCGCTAGAGCTTCGGGCATTTCGTAGGTGGCGGGAGGGGGTGAAATGGCGGGAGTGGGTGAAACCGAATGGCGGGAGGGATGAAACAGATTGGCGGGAGGGGGGGGAAACGAAATTGCGGGGGAGGGGGGAAACAAAATTGCGGGGGAGGGGGGAAACGAATTTCGACGGGGAGGGGGAAATGAAATTGCGGGGGCGTGGGGAAACGAAATTGCGGGGGAGGGGGGAAACGAATTTCGACTTGAAGGGGTTGAAAGCACACCTCGTAACCCACTCAGTCAAGGGATAACCTTTGATGCACATTCAGCTGAATGTGCACCCCGGTTTTAAGCCTATGGGGCTTACAAATAGAAACACAGTGGCAGGAGTTTGGACATGTGTGCTGTGCTGACATACATGCCTCTACCTGTTTAAACAGTAAAAACAACCCCACAACAACTTCGTGGGGATTGCAAGGCATGGCAATGTGCCTTCATGTCAGCTTGCCCTTCAAACTGTACCTTAGTCATACTCCCTGTACTGGCTGCTTCGTTCACAGTTCAATCCCTACCCAGTTGCTGATCTTCCTGTGGTCCACTAGAAGTCTATTCTTGTCATCGCGGTACACCATATCCTCAAAATCTGCATTCCATATGACATCTTCGTCTGCTACAAAGTAGTCCTCCACATGGAACACTGGCTGCATGGACGCGCGCTCCATGCCAATCTGCACTCAAGGAAACAAGGGGGTGCGACAGACACGAGACAAATGGGTGCATGCAAGACAAGGCAAGAATGGGTCAGGGTTTCGGGTTTAACAGGGATTTAGGTAGAAAAGGATGCGACGGGGCTTGTTGAGCAAAGGAGAGGGAGCAAAACAAGATCTTCCAACAAGAGGAGGCCATTAGGAGCACAAAATACCTCACTACAGATTCCATTGATATCTGTGGACTGTGCTTGACTCACGACAGCGAGGCTGAGCTGTGCGTTGACGAGGCAGAGGTCATCCCGAGACCGGCCGTACAGCGGACTGGACTCGTCAATCAGGTGCCGAACTGTCATGCCGTAGCGCTGGTATGAGTCCTCTGACCGTACCTGTGTGAGGAAGGGAAGAAAAGGGAAAGACAGGGTAGCAGGCGGCAGAGGAGGCATGACCAAGCAGGAGTGTAGTAAAGAGCACCATGCCCTCACAGCGAACCTGCATGTGGACAGGGTAGCAGCTGGAAGCAGCAACATGATCAAGATTCTTAGTTCAAGAAGCAGCAGCATGCATACCAGTTTGAGGTGATCCACTTGCCGAAAGAACCGTCCGGTGCAGGAGAGGGTGTTGTGCTTGAGCGTGAGCTCCACCTTCACATCCACCAGCTCACACCTTCCAACGCATACTCCAGTCCCACCATACCAGCACCACCACCAGCAGTGCACCAGCAGTACCACTCATACCAGTTTAAGGTGGTCGACTTGGCGAAAGAAGCGGCCGGTGCAGGACAGCGTGTTGTGTTTGAGAGTGAGCTCCACCTTCACATCCACCAGCTCGCACGGCTGTGGCCCTGCCAGCACATACCGCACCAGCAGCATGCGCTCACACCCCCTCCCCGCCCCCATCCCACCTCCACCCGTGCCAAACCCGCCTCCTTCTGCTCCTCCTCCTCCTGCCACTGCACTACCAGCAGCGGCTGGGAAACTACTTGAGGCGGCGAAGGCTGCGCTGCCTCCAAAGTTGGCACTGCTGATGCTGCGGGAGAGTGAACGGGCAGCAGGAGGGTAGCGAACGGGCGGGGACCCCCCCGATCCCCCAGCTGCACCTCCGAGCACGTTCACACCCTGCTGTTGCTGCTGTGGCTGCTGTAAGGGAGGAGTGATGCAGGCGATTTTGGAGCACAGAATCGGATCCACTGGCTGGGTGAGCCTCGCGAAAACCGCTCCACTGAGAAACACAAACAGCAGCTGAGCCACTAGAGCATTCACATTCGCAACCACCCACGAGCGCGTATGGCGACGCCGGTGCTAGAGCCGGTTCTAGCCCTGTGGAGAGCGAGAGCGAGAACATGAGCACTTGGAAAATCCCCCACGCGCACCCCCCTGGGATGATCCCGGCGGGACCCAGGCGGAAGATGTTGGATTGCTCGAGAGCACGGACGGCGTCGCCGAGGGTTTGGGAGCCGTCGACGACGTTGAATAGGCCGCCTGATGCTGCCTCCTTTGCTGCTGCGGCTGCCGCTGCTGCTGTGGCGGGGGCTCTGAATGCTCCTGTGCTAGCCAACCCAGTAACAACCGCTCCCCCTGCTCCTCCTCCTA